AAATTGCCACAATTTCACTGCTACCTACCCTCCTGGGATTGACTGGCATTGATTTACTAAAGGAGTACAGAACTTTATTTTGAAACATGAATTTTCACTTAGCTCAAATCTTAGCTCCATCCATATTTTTTTTTTTTAGTTTTTGATATAGTAAGTTAAAATGTTTATTTTTTTTTCTATGACCGCATTGGGGAGATTTTTTTGCACTCTCTGTCCCTTTGACACCCTTGCAAGAAACAGGGAATGCAGTAGTCACTGGGACAGAAAGGCACAGTAAGCAGTACAAGATCTGTCCTCATTGGATAGATTTCCCATCAGTTCCTGTCTTGAAAGGAAGTAAAGGTAAATCTCCTCAATAGGCACACAAGCGGCAATGAAAACTTGACAAAGGCACTAACCCTTCACTATTTTATTAAAAATTAAATACAAAGTTTAGGAAATAGCTTTACCCTATTCACCCATTTAAATAAATACTCCTTTAGTAAATCAACACCACTGTCTTAGCTACTAAGACAGCACTACGAATCTGGTTGGTAAAGCACCAGAGGCAACAGAAAACCCTATATGTTGTTGAGAAACATCCAAAGATGTAGAATCACATATTCCAAATAGAATATTTTTAAAAGGTTAATTTCATGCTGTTCAGGGATGTTTTGGATCATTTCAGTTACCAAAATCTTTCTATTTCCTTATTTTATTAACAGGAAAAATGAATGATAAAAATTGGAGGAAAAATTGAAAAAGTGGAAGCATTAATTTTACAAAAGGCATAAAGATTTTCACAAGGAATCTAAATAGATGTTATGAACAACATACAGCATTTATAAATAACTTTTAATATATTTTTTGCATGATTGGTTAACTCTTGTGTTGCATCACTCCAATACAGTTGAAGGAAAACTCCAACGTTCTCATTGGTTGTATCTGTACAATTTTTCAAGAAAAGCATTTTTGCCAAAATTGGGTGAAGAATTTCCATTGAACAGAGCAGTTACTGAAACAATATGGCACCGCATAGAATGGACAAATTGTATTGCAATTCGGGAGTATTCTCATGCCAAAATACATATTGTCCTCAGAGCAGCACCATCTAATTTCTAGAACAATTTGGCACTATTTAAATTAAAAATGAAGTTTACTTATATTTTGCCTTCCCTAGTTTTCCCTTTCACCCAAAGTAATATACTAATGAAATGATTAATATAGACTGAGTGACTGTATTACTTGGTTTCTGTGCTCTTCTATGCAGGTACATCATGGCTGGTGGGAAGGGGCAGCATGACTTCATTACTAGGTCTCTGGGCTTTTTTATGCAATGCAGGTAGATCATGACTGGTGGGAAGGGGTAGCATGACTTCATTACTAGGTCTCTGGGCTTTTTTATGCAATGCAGGTAGATCATGGCTGGTGGGAAGGGGCAGCATGACTTCATTACTAGGTCTCTGGGCTTTTTTATGCAATGCAGGTAGATCATGGCTGGTGGGAAGGGGCAGCATGACTTCATTACTAGGTCTCTGGGCTTTTTTATGCAATGCAGGTAGATCATGGCTGGTGGGAAGGAGAAGTAGTGTGATGTACATAGTTCCTAAAAACCTCACATCACCCAGCCTTAGTATCCCACTCAAGAACCCTCATCTCTGATGCAAGCAGTTGGTTGGCACTTGGGAAGAGTTATGAATTTATCAAAATGCCTTAATGAAGGGATGTCAGTCTGGAGAAGTAGGCATTCCTAGGCAGGGTGCATTTGCATGCTGATTCCCCTCGATGACATCCACATGTGATGCTGAACCTACATGATTGAAAGAACTGAAATGCTATAATTAAAAGGGCGGATCAAGGACAGATCAGGCTGGGAATGAAAAAGCTAGATGATGCTCCTGCCAGGAAATGAGGTGGGTTCTATGGGACTTGCTGCAGCTTCTAATGCACACTGTAGGAAGCTCACAGTGTGAAATCATAAAAATTTATTTCGGCACAGGAGAAGATCTTGTGCAATTGTGCAAGACTGAATGTGAGGCTGAAGTTCACCTGTAAGGTTTATTGAAATGCAGAAAAGGATACATCAGGCTAATGTAGTCAATAAATAAGAACCTCCAAATATTGCACTTCTGCAGTGTGTGTCCTGTGAGCTTAGAGCCTACTGAATGCCAACTAAAGGCAAAGGTGCAGGGGAAGTATTTTGCTGGCCATAATCATCTGTGGGTTAGCATGAAGCAGAGCCTGCCAACATACCTGCAGCTTTTAAACCCAGCACAACACCATTTATAGTAGCAGAGACATTAGAGACTCTAGGCTAGAGATACATGGGCGACCCTGATCATGTTGTGGCTGACAGCTTTGAGATACTGCTTCATCATGTGAGTGCCTATTTGGCTGTTTTTTATTTGAATAAAGACTTTCTCATACTACACTTGTATCTGCGCCCTCTGTTTTGCTTTACATGACCCCTGATCACGTAGCTAAAATCACTATGGATCAGTCACCTGTTTTTGAATAAATTGTGGGTGATTTACTAAAGGAATAAAGCATGTCTATTTTGCAAAGTGCATTTTCACTTTGCAAGGGGATTTTCACTTACCTTTGTAATAATGTTGAAAATTCACTTGCCATGAATACCCAATCTTGTGCAAGGAATAAAAACAGTATTTTTGCTTGCCCATGATTGGATGATAGAAACCAGCACACCTTCCCCTTATTCACTAAGCTGAGTGTAAATTCCCATTCCAAAGTAAAAATTGCACACATTGCAGCACCCATGGCTGCGCAATTATCCAATCAATGGTCACCCATGTAACTCTAACCTAAATGATGCATGAAAGGTCCAGTAATTTGGGAGTGGCAATGTACTCATATATTGCTAAAGGCAGCCCATGTCTGCTTATTGCATACCTCAATTTAATTTACATAAAATACAGTTATGCCTTAAAAAATAATTACAGCAACTTCACACCAAAATGCATTGCAACAAATGAGTATTTTGCAGAAAATCACCAATACATGACTACTTATCATCTTTAGCCTCTCCATCCATTTTACATTAAGGCAGTAATTATGGCACAGACATCAACTTGAGTTGGACATGAAGTGAGGCAGATGAAAGTTCTAGTGAGGATAAATATTGAAGAAGAGAAGTTGTAATGTCATCGTTGCCTGCCAATGGTGTGTTAGTCTGCACTGTAAAGCCTCAATGGAAAACAATACAGAAATATTTGATTGGCGGCCCTAGGCAACACTCCAACATTTCTGTACTATTTACCCCACCATGGACAGAAAAATTTGAAGGTGTTTCTACAAGAATCCCCTACAATAGTAGTTTGTCTTTTTTCCTTCTGTTATGTGTGACGAGAACAACTTTTAGATCCAAGTCTTATCATTTAATAGCTAATAAAATAGGCACATTTTAAAGGATAAAATAAACACAGCAATTAAAAAAAGTGGTGTTATTTATGGGATAATGCCTCCACTTTGTTGGGATACAGTTATTGTTGAGCTACGTGGGGCATTCATAAAAAATGTTGAAGAAGAATTTCAGTTGGGCTGAATAACTGAATATTCTTTAATTTAAAGCAGCGGTCTCCAAACTGTGGCTATTTGCGTGACTTTATTTGGCCCTCGGGGCACTATTTTGCCAGTTGACACCAATGATGTGGCACCATTCCCCCTACTGACACCATCAATGGGACACTATTCTTTTCATTGATAGGAACAATGGGGCACTATTCCTCCTTCTCACTATTCCTAAACCCAATGATGAGGCACTGATAACTGTGATTTTTTTATTCCCATTGGCCACAGTCCGGCCCCCTTAAAGCCTTAAGGAAAGGAAACTGGCCCTTTGCTTAGAAGGTTTGCAGACCCTGATGTAAAGGAAAGGGAAGCATATAGGGTCTTAAAACTATGGCAATGTCTTAAATATCTGGCTGGTCTGCAGAAAACATGAGACAGCAGCTGAACACTCTGGATATGGAACGAGTAATACATATCTGAATGTGTCCACTATTTATGGCTAAGGTGGGAATAAATACAGTTTCATTGTAGTTGGATTATACATTTGACTATAAATGGTGAATGAAAAAGCCATTCTGGATTAGATTCCCAAAGACTCTCACACCCAATGAAAAGCTTCTATGGAGTTTTTCGTTCAAACATTCTGGATCTCTTTCAAAAATTACAGGATCAGATGACTAGTCAGATTAATGGATGGACCTGAAAAAACATTAAATCCTGAGATATTTTAATAAAGGAAGAAAACAACTAAAAAAAAAACCAAGCTGGAAGAATTTAGCTACTAGTTATGGTCACAACTCCTTATAATACAGTACTACCTAAATCCTTGGTATTTTACATAAGTACCTATTACAGCACGTACTATATTTTTTCTTATTGTTTCCTTCAAGCATTTTCTCAAACAGAAGTTCTAAACAAACCTCCATTGACCATGTAATTAAGGCAGCACAATGGAATCTACTCTTTTGCAAACAGATATTTGGTTTCTGTACATTCATTGCCATAAATTGTATTGACATGGTGTATTGCAAACCCAACTCAAATACACAGGTACATTGCCTCTGAAACAATGTTAGTGGTTTAAAGTAGGTATAGCCAACCTTTCAGCTTACCCTTTGTTCAGAAACCCCCAGGAACCGGCATGCCCCGCACAACTCTGGCTGGCCAATTATGCTCCAACTAGGAGTTAATCAACCCCTAAAAAGCTTTAAGCCCATGCTTGTTTTAAATAGCTAAGACAATCCATTGTGTCCATGAGTACAAAATTGTATTGATCGTGCACAATACTTTGGAGGCAACGCAAGTAATAATATACACAAAAAAACTTTACAAAATTCAAAAATTAAAAAAACAAACAAAAAACAAACAAAGCATAAGTGCTGGCCTATGGATGAAATGCAGCAAAACTTCTATGAAAATGAGCTATCTAGAAATCTAATGCTCCAAAAATAATACAGGATATGAAGTCTATAAGAACGCATATTGAGGAGATGCTAACAGTGATGGTCATTTTCTTCCATGCTTATGCTGCTCCTTCTGCTGTTTGTTTTGGAGGCACCCGGAGATACTGAATGAAGTGTGTCGTGTACTCTTGGGGAAAGGGTATCGTCCATGAATATATCTTCCAGTTTGGAGCCCATCTTTGCGGGCATGCTGTAGGTGGTGGGGGAGTCGTTAATGTTCCTAAGGTTGTTGCTAAAGGTGATGGTACCGTCGGTGAGATCCAGGGTGCTGGTGCCGGACATATCGTGATGGTTTTGCAAAACCTCCTGGTTGCAGCTGTCCAACATTGGTTCCTGCTTGATGACTCGATTTACCAGATCAGAAGAACAAAGACCTGTGGAAGGCATGATGGAGAGTCCATGGGCTCTGGCTTGCATCTCCAGTTCCTGAAAGGTGTGAAATTACATTAATTCAACCATATCTGATAACCACATACCTTTGTGACACTTCCTATAAAATACATTAATTAAAGTATAAACTCAAAATCTGTTGCTGTGGCATTATATGTTGCTTTATACAGTTTTTGTAAGCAAATTTTTTTTGTGAATCTGTCAAAAAATTTCGTACTGTCCACAACTCTGGTCCCAATATAGGGTCCAGGCTTTGCCTGTCGTGGTGGGAATACTACTCCCGAAGGGGTCTGTAGCATCTGGGATCTATGGAAATGGACCATGGCCCTGGATCATGTACTACACCTTGGGGCTAACTACACTACGTGTAACGGCTTCCATCCCCTCTCCTGTCCGGCACTTCAATGATCGCTGCAGGGATAGAGCAGAGAGGTGACTGACAGAGAGAGGACCCAAGAACTGGGCGATCAATGGTCATGTCTCATTCGGTTCTTGGGCTTATAGCCAGAGGAAGACAGCTTGCATGTATGTTTATTTTTTTATTATTCCCACACTTCAAGACTTTAAAAGGATGTTGCTATGAAATGTCTGTCTTCCTTTGTTGGAAGAAGCAGGAATTTTGTGGATGTTGGCTTCTAGAGGAATATTGTGCCTTTTCTAGAGGAAGCAACTGCACTTATCTCCCACAAAAGAGGTGGTGAGTGGCTTGTCCACACAGAAGCCTTTTCCACACAGAAGCCTTCTCAGCTCTCCTGGCTTGGAGTACCAAAATCAAGATAACACTAGAACCTTAATCCCTAAGGAGCTGTGTGTATTCCACCCAGGATAACCCAGGGTTCCATTACTAGGGAGGCTGTCTGACATCTTGGATGTTTTTAAAAGTTGCATTCATTTTACTTGGAGTATGTGAATAAAATACATTTTGCTTTACTGTAATTAGTTTTAGCTGAAATCCTTGTAATTCCTAACTATAATTATTAGGGTTCTAGCCTGTGAAATCAGCAGAATAGAGGGTCTTGAAATATGTGCAGAAGAACTCCGTTCTTTATTTTACTTTAGAGAAAAGAACCTCACTATAGATGATTGTGTCTGAGACCTTATTGCCAAGTAAGCAGACTTAGGGCATTTACAATGAGGCCTATTATTCAGGTGGATATCAATCCTTATTAAATACAGGACTAGTAGTGATACTTATACATAATGATTTTGCTGATATCCCAAGCAGCATTGTTGGCCTTGCATGCTGACCTTCAGAACATCAAACAGTTCAGAGACACATAACAATTGTATTGCCTGCTAAGGCTGTTATACCTTGGGTACCAAGATCCAGTTCTGACACACAAAAATATGTTTAAGTAATAAAAAAAAGTGGTTGTACACCCTTACATATACCAGTGAAGGGAATGGCCTCAAGTGATACACAGAGGTGAAAAAAATCCTCCTACAAAAGTGGTGCCTGTTTTTCTGCATTCTTCTCTTCTCTACAGAGTTCTAAAGCACACAAATCAAAGAGTATTTCTCAGCCTCCAGAAGCAGGGGGCAGGGATCTGATATCACACATTACATAGCTCAAAGAGGAGAGCTGAGTGTAATCTGATATTTGAGTGTAATCTGATACGTGAGTGGAGGGAATGGACACACCCCACCACACAATCTCAAGCTGTCAATCATAGGCTATGCCTTGGGGCTCCCCTCCCCTATCCCCCTCAATCCCTTGGAGTGCATTGGAGGCAAGCACACACTATAGAAGGATATACTTTGTTCATTTTCCACTTCAGTGGTTTACAACCTCTTTAATTGCCCTATTTATAGTTATTAATTAAAAAAGCAGAGGGGTCATCAATAAACCTGCAGACTTCCACAATCCTTGGATTTTGTGAACATGTTGGGTTTTGAATAATCACCAGCTAAATCAAGGTCATCTAAGAGAAATGTTTTGGTGGAGGCGTGCACAATAACAGAAGACTGATGACATGCATCACTACACATTATCAGTATGCTTTTTTATCAAGTTAAAATTACCATTACATAACACCGTTGCCCCAAGGCGTGGTATATGCTATGTCTATTTAGCTAGGATGATTACACCTTGAGCTCATTATCAAGGTGCCTAGTGAAAGATAAAAAAGAAAAAAAGTGTGAAGTTGAGGAAGTAAAATATATGTAAATTACTATTAATTGCTCTGCATATGAAAGTTGTGTCCCAAAGGCAAGCAGCTGAAAACCGTTATTAGAGGATTTTATTCTACAGTTTTCAGTGCGAAGCAATTTTCAATGGCATCTCATGGCATTTTTTTGCCATAGACTTTTCTGTGCTCTTCCTCCATATTAGAGATAGGCTTGATGAAAAAATTAGTTTCGTTTAGTTTCAGATTCATTTATTAAGTAAATCATTTCGTTTTGTCATATTCGTTATGTTAGAATGATTAGTTTCATATATTCGTCATTCTGAATCGATTCGTATTTTTGGAAGATATTTCAGAAGATCCTAATTAAAAGGTATGCGCTAATAACAAACTTATACAAAGGTGTATATCATCAAACCAAAAAAAACATTTAGTGTTTTAAATAAATAATTATATTGTCCAAACATACATTAGTGTCCAAAAAATATATATATTAGTGTAAAAGGTATAAGGAAACTCACAAACAAGATGTCCAACAGACACCAGCTTCAATCGCAAAAAAAAAAAGTTGAGATACCGGTGTCCAACAGACCCCTTGATGACGTCGGTGATGACGAAACGAAACGGTTGGGTGTGGCCTACTTGATGTGGACGTTAGAGAGCCATGCTGTTCTGTGCTGTATGGGAGAGATCCGCGGTGAGCGGTAACTGTATCTCAACTTTTTTAGCGATTGAAGCTGGTGTCTGTTGGACACTTTATTTGTGAGTTTCCTTATACCTTTTTTATTAAAGAGATAAATGAAAAAAACATATTGCACCATTATGTTCTCTTTTTTGTCCCTGAGTATACTATATGCTCTCATGGAGGTATGAGAAAGAGTGGAGAAGTTCATCATAAGAGCTTGGGCTACAAAGTTGTTTGTCTGTGATTATTATTATCTGGAAGTATCTGAAACATCACCATATCTATTTGGACATCGGGGTCATTGCTCCCAGAGCACAAGCGCTGTTGCTGGTTTATAGTCTGACCAGCCATTAGCTCTGGTGAGTTCATTTAATCTCCTTTGGTGGTGGATTTTTCACAATTGGTTCAAGTCACTGAAGATATATATATATTTTTTTTTTGGACACTAATATATATTTGTTTTGGACACTAATGTATATTTTTTTTGGACTAATGTATGTTTGGACAATATAATTATTTATTTAAAACACTAAATGTTTTTTTTTGGGATGATGATATACACCTTTGTATAAGTTTGTTATTAGCGCATACCTTTTAATTAGGATTATTGTTGCCAAAATTTATTTTGGGTGGGATATGCTGCTGACACTTTGGTGTTTTTTGTAAGTGGCGCTTTTTTCTTTTTTTAATTTGGTATTTCAGAAGATCGCCTATATTCATTTTGTGCATTCGTTATTTCGGGAGATAACTTACGCAATCATCCCAGCTAGTCCAACCCACAAAGAGAAATATAATGAGCTGAATGGATGATATTGACTAGAATAACGAAAGTAACAAATGGAACTAAATAAATATTAAATTCATTATGTTATGATTCGGAGATTCTGATGGATCCACCTCCATCCAACCACAAAAAAAATAAGTAGGACTGGTCTTCTTATTTCACTATTCTACCTTACTGTATTTATTGCAAGATGTTTCCATTTTTTATTACATTATTTCAGATGCTTCAAACATTAACAAAAGACCCAAACTATCGCATCAAGTCATCCAAATGAAACACATGAATGCAAACGAAAAGTTTCGGTATAATTTATTTAGGATTCGTTGAGCGTTGGTACTATGGTAATTCGGAGATTCATATACATCTGAATTTCCAAATGATTAAAAATTTCCACTGAATTTCGATTTGCAACAATTTGTACTCCATATTAGTATTATATTTAGAGCGTAACTAGACTTAAGAAAAATTTTGCATGTTGCAGATTACAAGTCTTTTGAAGGGTGGCCGCATTCATTCGTTTTCTATTTTTCAGGTTTTAAAGTGTTACTAAACTCACAACTGTAAAATCAGTCTGTATATGCAGTAAAGCATGCTTGTTATACTCTCTGTGGAACCTAAGGGGTTAATCCTCCGCATTGTGTAAAAAGGCTGTTTGATCCTGTCTTCTCTGATCCTCCTCTTCTTCTACTGTCCCCCATCCATCTGCCATAGTACAGAGCAAAAGTGGCATGTCTGCACATGCACTGTTTGCTGTGTATTGATAGAGAGTTTTTTTTTCTTAAGAGGATGCATGTGATTGGCACAGGGCCAATCAGAACTGTCCAGTCAAAGGATAAGGGGTTTATGCAGCCTCACAGGACAGTCATAGGAGAATGAAAACTCAACAGTAACCAGTGCTTGGCCAGACACTGATAAAATTCACAAGACTGGTACATACTGCTGATGAGAAAAGGTATTTAGCAGTTTATATTTACTAAAATAATTTCATTTCCATGTTGTGTGTACCGTGTGAGACCAGATATAGTGAATGCAGGGTCCGGGGAGACCAGATATAGTAAATGCAGGGTCCGGGGAGACCAGATATAGTGAATGCAGGGTCCGGGGAGACCAGATATAGTAAATGCAGGGTCCGGGGAGACCAGATATAGTGAATGCAGGGTCCGGGGAGACCGGATATAGTGAATGCAGGGTCCGGGGAGACCGGATATAGTGAATGCAGGGTCCGGGGAGACCAGATATAGTGAATGCAGGGTTCGGGCAGACCAGATATAGTGAATGCAGGGTCCGGGGAGACCAGATATAGTGAATGCCGGGTCCGGGGAGACCAGATATAGTGAATGCAGGGTCCGGGGAGACCGGATATAGTGAATGCAGGGTCCGGGGAGACCAGATATAGTGAATGCAGGGTCCGGGGAGACCAGATATAGTGAATGCAGGGTCCGGGGAGACCGGATATAGTGAATGCAGGGTCCGGGGAGACCAGATATAGTGAATGCAGGGTCCGGGGAGACCAGATATAGTGGATGCAGGGTCCGGGCAGACCAGATATAGTGGATGCAGGATCCGGGGAGACCAGATATAGTGAATGCAGGGTCCGGGGAGACCAGATATAGTGAATGCAGGGTCCGGGGAGACCAGATATAGTGAATGCAGGGTCCGGGGAGACCAGATATAGTGAATGCAGGGTCCGGGGAGACCAGATATAGTGAGTGCAAGGGTCCGGAGAGGTCCGGGGAGACCAGATATGGTGAATGCAGGGTCCGGAGAGACCAGATATAGTGAATGCAGGGTCCTGGGAGACCGGATATAGTGAATGCAGTGTTCGGGGAGACCAGATATAGTGAATGCAGGGTCCGGAGAGACCAGATATAGTGAATGCAGGGTCCGGCGAGACCAGATATAGTGAATGCAGGGTCCGGGGAGACCAGATATAGTGAATACAGGGTCCGGAGAGACCAGATATAGTGAGTGCAGGGTCCGGGGAGACCAGATATAGTGAATGCAGGGTCCGGGGAGACCAGATATAGTGAGTGCAGGGTCCGGGGAGACCAGATATAGTGAATGCAGGGTCCGGGGAGACCAGATATAGTGAATGCGGGGTCCGGTGTTTAATAACATTGTAAGGCATATCATTTTCTTTGGGTACTCTTTAATATGCAGCCTGGCTATTGTCTAGTCTAGCTCCTTAGATATTTAACAATAAAAAAAAATACTTAAAACGCTAAAAACACAAACCTGTATTCTAAGCAGCAGGTGTCTGTTGGCGTGTTCAAGCTTCTTCTGTTTGTTCTCGAGCTCCTTCGATCTCTGCTGCTCTCTCTGAAGTTTGCGTATATAATCCACAGAGGCTTTCAGAATGGTTCCCTTGTTCCACCTCATATCCCTGAAATGAGGTACAATTATGTTTAATCAACTTAAGATTTTTTTACAGGGCAACTAAAATTTATATTAAAAAAAAAAACCCACACCCCATATTACTTTGATATCTGATAAAATGTACAAAATGTACAAATTACAATAAAGACCACAGATGCAAACAAAAAGTTATTTTCTGCCTTACCCAAACTTCGGCCAACTCACATGCAATAGGATTGGCTATAGAGAATAGGGCTCCATTCACACTTGTGGGTCTTGTCCTGTGACTTTGTACACATAAAGTCACAGCCCATGTATTTCAATGGAAGCTGTTAAAATCTATGCGACCTAACCACTTCCCAATGGGTGGACTTCCATGGACGTCCATGACTTTCCATGGTTATACCAGCATGATGTCTGCAGCTACAGGCAACATCCTGGTATCTTTATTTTCAGCCAGTGATTCCCTCTAATGTAAAAGCCATCTTAGTGGCTAATTAGCCCCTGGCTTGTTTTTACCGGCGGCGGGAGGGGACGTCTCCACCTTCCCACCGCCCACTGGTGGTGCCAAGCATGGAAAATATGCCCTGGTTCACATATAGGCTTCTAGATGATGCAAAACGGGGCAGACCAGGGACTAAAATGCATTTAAGTATTAGGTCCTGTTCACCTTGTCCACTAAATTGTGTATTACAATTGCCTGGAATAATGAACAGTGTGTGAGCCCCAACACATTACAGCCACAGGCAGATATTCTGCCAAATCAACTTTTCCTGATTGGATCTGTTTATAGAATGTTTTTTTTTTTTTTTTGCATGAGAAATGACTCTTCATATACATACGGGTCATTTGACTTGGGTATTAAAGTTCCTAATTCTTTTATACGATCGTTGATGTTAAATCTTCGTCTTCGTTCAACTGCAATAAATAGAATACGAAAAGATGATTAGAGGGTGATATCTAACAGTATTTGTTTAAAGACTAAAAAGCAAAAAGATAATTAAACAGGATGAAGATGATGATAAGGGGATAAGGGGGGTCAGTAGGATAATAGGATATCCTCTCGGGGGTCAGTAGACTAATACGATATCCTCTTTGGGGTTCAGTAGACTAATATAAAATCTTCTCGGGGAGATCGGTAGACTACTGGGCAGGGGCGGCCTGACCATTTGGAACCTCGGGCACTGCCCGAGGGCCCGAGGTCAGTAGGGGGCCCCATGAGATGCCAATGGTACCTTTTTCATAGGCTTTTTTGAGTTTGGGCAAGGACACAGGGGCTCCATGATCCCCTATTGCCCGGGGGCCCCATGAATTGTCAGTCTGCCCCTGCTACTGGGTGTGAAGATCCCTAGTATTGCACTCTGCAGGATATCCTCTTGGGGTTCAGTAGACTAACAGGATATCCTCTTGAGCAGATCTATAGAATGAAAGGATTTTCCTCTTGGAGGTCAGTAGACTACTGGTGTTGCAGATCCTCGGTAGTATACTTTGTAGGATATTCTCTCGGGGTTATTATCTTTAAAAAAACACTTTAAACGCAAACCGCATAACGCGGATTGCAATGTGGCTACTTAACAGACGGTTTTTAACCTAACCAATTAATTACAACGAAAACCCGTAAGCATGGGTGTGTGCTTGTCCTACCCCCATGGGGTAGAACCGTTGGGCTCCTGACAGGGTCAAGGTTCCCATTTTTTTAGCAAAGACATGAAGCAGAATACAGGGTTTTGGCCTATAATTTATGATGAAACATTTGATTTTTTACTGGATGTGTTTTATATAGCAAAAGAGTGGTAGGAGGAATAAAAAAATATAGTTTTTTTTTTCAAAATTGTCAGGGGAGTTTTTTTTGTTTATAGCGCAAATAATAAAAAAACATAGAGATGATCAAATACCACCAAAAGAAAACACTAGTGGGAAAAAAAAACGTAAATTTCATTTGGGTGTTGGGCAGCGTTGCATGAGAGGTGGGACCGATCAATTATCAGTTAAAGTAACGGGGGAGAGCTCGTGTTACTGCGATGAGATAATCTGGTCAGGAAGGGGGGGTAAATTCTCATGGGGGGCAAGAGACTCATTCAGCAGCACAATTTGAATATGTAGCGATGTTGTAGTGAAGGTAACAATGACCACAAAAAAGAATACCTTTAGAGGGAGACAATGTACTTTGAAATCACATTATTAAAAGTCTTCTAAGGCTCATGTACACTGCAGCTAATAAATTCAAGTTCAGGAGCTTTTGTGCGTTTCTTTCAGTCAGCCCTCTGAACTCCCAAAGAGAGGGGGGGAGTGAACTCTCCCTAATGTTTTCTTTGTATCTATGTACACATCGGTGTCTGTATGGTAAAAGTCTGCCATAAGGCTCATGTAGGACTGACGCTAATAAATTCAAGAGAAAGGGGTTCACAGAGCGTTCTTTTGAGGGGGAGGGCCCACTGAAGGTCCTGAACTCTCCCTAAGAGGTCCGGGAGGAGACAGTTTTTTTGGCTTTGTAGGTCTATGGTACATTTTGAGGAGGGCGGTTTCGGTTACAGGCGGTTGAAAGGAGGTTTACAGTCGCACCAAACTTGTGTTCAGGAGTGGATATTTATCAGCATTTTGGGTCAGACGCCAAATGCTTTGTGTAAATGCTTGTAAACATGCCTAAAAGCCGCATTTGCGTTTGTAAAAATTTTTTAAACATCATGAACAATGCATGCAAAGCTTTTTTCCCGGCACTCACATGAACCCGGTACACCATACTTTGAGATTTCGCATGAAAGAAAATATGTTAGACACTGCTGCAATAATCTCTGCACAGAAATGAGCCGGAACACATCCAAAAGCACCACAAAACAAAAAGACAGCTAATCCCAACAAATACTGACTCTTTCTGCTTCTGATCTCTCTATTTCTCTCAAAATTAGTGTCTGAAATAGTTAATTTTTTTGCTGTTTTTTGCGGAGGGTTGCAGTGCATTCTGGGCAGATTTTGGAAGGTCTTCTGATGTTATCTTTAAAAAAAACACTTTCTTCTAAAATTGAGTGTGCGCCAAACGCGGCCAGGTAAGGGGGTATGAGTGACAGGGGATATTGCATGGATGGTCACTTCTGATGGGGTTAAGAGGCCGGATACAGTTTTAAGGGAATTAGGGTGGGAACCTGGAAGGAAGGTGGCTAAACCGACAAACCGGCATAAACCTAGACGTATGGAAATGTGGCTAAACGGGTTTTTAACCTACGTTGTTTCCGGCAGTCAGTTTCCATGTTTCAGAAGTGTTTTCCAACGTCCCGTGTTACATGGAACCTACTTCTGCCTTGTTTTTTTTTTTTTTTTTTTTTTTAAGTCCGCAAACGTGGGATGGGTGGAAAAATTGGGTACAACGAGTGCAGGAGGCCGTAAGTGATCACAACAAATGGGGTGCAAGGGCGAAACACCACACGAAAAAGTGCACTTAGGGGTGTGCTTGTCCTTACCCCCTAAGAAGGGTTGAACCGTTTGACCTTCTGATCCCCGGGGTATAGCACGAAGCTCCTGACAGGGCGGCAAGGTTCCCATTTGGTCCTCCTGGCCAAAAGGCCTGGTGGACCACCGTTCCTTATGCCCAGCCGAAGCCGGACATCCAGTACTAGGTCAGGGGGTTCTCCCGGAGAGAAAAACCCCTAGGGATCAGGGGAGGAAGGAACCAAAAGGCCACACATCCTCCCCCTAGACTTCAGAGTAGACCCGAGGACCCACACCCTCCATCCGTGGAAAAAACACACACATAAGTAAAGTAAAAAGTGACAAAACGTGGGAGTGCATAATAAATAAATAGAATAAAAAAATAAATAAAAAAAGTGGTACCGTGCCGAATTGTGCACAGACCAGGCCCTGAGGCCCGTAGCAAAAATTGCCCTGGACATCTTCACAACGTGGGGTCCCACACCCAAGTGTTACTAGTGACACCCCTGAGAGCATCTTCCCCAGGGGGCACTGAGTTTGCGGACTTTTTGCGTCCCCAGCCCCTGGCCAGACCAAGGTAGATCCGTCCAAATCAGGAGGTACTGGATCCTTCAGACGTTCCAAAGGAGAATTACTCCCGAGGCCCCAGAACGAATCATGGCGCTCCCCGGTTTCTGTTCCCCCCGTAATAGCCATCCAGACCCCCATCATACTAGTGAGGGTACTATACTAGTAGCAAAGCTAGAATGGCCGGGAGCACCCCCACTGGACACTGATAAGAACAGATACTACACTTGATCTTAGCCAAAAGGCCGAGAAGACTCTTTACTTCTGCCTTGTCTTTTTTTTTTTTTTTTTTTTAACTTTTCCGCAAACGTGCAAACTACAACGAAAAACCCGTAAGTGATCACAAAAAATGTGCAAGTGCGAACACCACACGAAAAAGTGCACTTAGGGGTGTGTTTTGTCCTACCCCCGGAAGGGTTGGACCGTTCACCTGATCCCCCGGGGCACGAAGCTCCTGACAGTGACAAAGTTCCCATTTGGTCCTCTGCCTTGTGCCCCGGTTGATATAATATAATAGATGACACAGAAGCCTGTTTTTCTACTCCCAAGTATACTGAGTATACAGATCGGGGACTAGTATTTCACTTATTGCAGGACAATGCCTCAAAAAAGTTTTGACCCAAAAAAAATCTTTGGCTCATTGGCCTTATAAAGAGAAGAGGAAATTTACCTTGATGAAGAAGTAAAGAAGACTATCTTGCTCCTAACTGTCACTTATGATTTTGCTCCCACCCAGCAGTGTATATTATATAAGGAGATAATAATAACCACACACAAGATAATCAATGAGCTCATATATGCAGAAAGTTCCACCTACTTAGATTGTGATTGTCCTTCTTCTGTCTTTCCTTGGCCAGCGCTCTTGCTTCTGACTCTGCAAAAAAACAATGAGAGAAGTTGAATATTAAAAACACAACCATTATAGAACGTGTACACTTTAATTTGCACAGCTTTTCGGGACCCTGCCGGGAGAAGCAATGGGTCTGCCTCTGCGATGGTGCAAGATCCAAATCTTTCCCTCTTTAATACTTCGGAAGTCATTAACACAAAAAAGTATAAATGTAGGAAGCTTTGACCCCACTAGCTGCATGTTTGCTGAGGGTCCTTGAAAGAGTATCTAAATCGAAGAATGTAATAAATTGCAGATTACAGGTCCTTAGATATGGTGGCAGCATTAGTTTTTTTTTTTCAAGTTTTTTCAAGTTTTTTTTCAAGTTTTTTTTTTCTTTTATTTTCCCCTGGTGGTCCTGCCAGTAATACTTCCTGTACTAGGGTGACAACAACCACTCACTGTATGTATTGATGAACAGTGTTGTCACCAGTGGTGTATTTAGGTTTTGTGCTGCCCTAGGCAACACAAAAATTGGCTCCCCCACGAAGGGAGCCTGATCATTGCCCAACAACATCTCAGCCCCCCCCCCCCATCCCCACCTGAGAGAGCCTTCCACTACCACCGACCCCCCCCCCATACATTGGCAACCCCCCCCCCCCCCCCCCCCTCCCGACCCTGCGAGAGAGACTCACCCTCACAGCTCAAGACATCCCCGGGAGCAAGAGTCAGGCTCTGCATACACCATCAAGCAGCCCGCAGCCTCTCTCAGATCCCACTTGGTATGCTGCGTGTGTCCCTTCTTTTGGGGGGCAGTGCTGCCCCCCTGAAAAATGCCACTTCCCCCCTGAAAGATGCCGCTGCCACCCTGAAAAATGCTGCCCTACGCAAATGCCTTGTTTGCCTTGTGGTAAATACGCCCCTGGTTGTCACCCTAAGACAAGATTAGAAACACCTCCCCCTCTTCTCTACAACATAGCAGGGAGGTGTTCTTTAGCTCACAGACAAGAACTGGAAAGTCTGATAACATTGAGATTTGAGTTCAATGCACAGAAAGTTCCAAGGAAACAGGATTTCAGGCAGGAACCTCAGGTATTTTCCTGTAATTACAGAAAATGAACTGAAAAAAGAAGAAAACAAATGCAGCCACTACATCTAAGGACTGGTAAGCTGCAATAGATTACATTTTTGTTCTTGGGTACAAACACACTTTAGGAGGTACAATGGGGATCAAGGGGCAGCCACTGAGGTTGCATCTTTTAAACACGTTCGCAATGGCATTCCCAAAATTTCTGTTCTGAAGGTCATTTTTTTTTAGATGTTATTACTCATAAGGACACAGCCCATAAACTGACTTCAATTCATTAGAAATTCATTTGTGGACTACAGATATTGTTAAATTAGAAGTCAAAGGTTTTGTTTAATCTGATGTCATTTATCACGGCCTACTGTATCTTTGTTTCTGATGTTCATACTAATGCAGGTCATACATGGTTTGAATTCCAAAAATTTTTTGTCCGAAAATCGAAAACGTCATTCACTCGGTAATCCGATGGTGCAATCAATGATTGCGAAAATCGGCCGACCAAGTCATAAAGTTCTCCCCATATAACAGGTGAAACTTCTGTTCCTTCCAGGTCATGGCTCATACGCATATTCATTTCGGAAAAACGATCGTACGATTTGATCATCAGTCCAAAATCGGTAGTTTTTCACAAATTTTCCAACATGCCTGATCACCGAAAAGGGAAGGGACCACGAAAAAACGGCCAGTGCCATTGACCCACTAACAGACCGAAAATCGGGCAATTATTAAAATCAGTCGAATTTCGATCCATGTATGGCCGGCATTATTTCTGTAAAAACAGTGCAGAAGGCTTCAAATGTTGTGGATATGAGACAACTGTAAGCACCACACCAGGGGTGGACTGACCATTCGAGCTCTCGGGCACTGCCGGAGGGCCCGGGGTCAGTAGGGGGCCCCATGAGATGCCCCTGGTACCTTTTTCATAGGCTTTTTTGAGTTTGGTCAAGGACACAGGGGCCCCATGATCCCCTATTGCCTGGGGGCCCCATGAGTTGTCAGTCCGCCCCTGCCTCCACCAAACATTTACTGGCGGTGAATCAATCATTGTTCCGAGCAGCATTAGGGTCGTCGTCGTTGGGTACAAATCCCAACCACCTGTCTAGAGTTAGCATGTTCTCCCTGTGCCTGCGTGGGTTTCCTCCCATTACTCCGGTTTTCTTCCACACTTCAAACACATGCTGGTAGGTTAATTGGCTCCTGTCTACATTGTCCTTAATATCTATGAATGTGTGCTAGGGACCTTAGATTGTAAGCCCCTTGAGGGCAGGGACTGATATGAATGTATTATATATTTGGAAAGCGCTGCGTAAATTGATGGCGATATGTAAGTAATGGCAATATTAATAAAAATGGGACAGCACAGTGGCTAAATGGTTAGCACTTCCATCTGGCAGTACTAGGGTTGTTGGTTCCCAACCATGGCACCACCTGCCTGGAGTTTGCATGTTCTCCCTGTGCCTGCGTGGGTTTCCTTCAGGTACTCTGGTTTCTTCCCACACTCCAAAGACATGCTGGTAGGTGAATTGGCTCCTGTCTAAATTGTCCCTAGTATGTGTATGTATGAATGTGAGTTAGGGACCATAGATTGTACACCCCTTGAGGGTGAGGGACCGATGTGAATGTACAATCTATATGTAAAGTGCTGCATAAATTGACAGAGCTATATAAGTAGAGGTGTACCTCGGTTTACAAACGCCTCGGTTTACGAATGAAAATCCATTGAAAATAATGTCTCGGTTTACAAATTTGTTACAAATTTTTTTCGCAATACGAAGTGTATGTCGGTGCCGATTTTTGAATGCAATTGCCAACTTTTTTTTCTCTTTATTATAGCTCACAGAATTAGCTGTCACTTTCCCCAGAGCTAAAGGAATCATTGTTTCTTTTAACTTGAGGAAATAAACTAAAAGGAAACTTTGTTTCTTTTAGCTTGGGGGAAAGTGACAGCTAATTCTGTGAGCTATAATGAAGAAAAAAAAAAAGCCGTTAATTACATTTAACCTTCGGAATGGACAAATTGGTTTTCAATGCATTCCTCTGGGAAACCGCATTTCTGTTTTTACTCATTTTTTGCAATACGAAACGTCCCGGAGAACGCATTAAATTTGTAAACCGAGGTACACCTGTACCTGCAATGAATAAGGGGCAGCACAGTGGCTAAATGGTTAGCACTTCCACCTGGCAGACCGTTGGTTCAAATCCCAACCACGGCACCACCTTCCTGGAGTTCGCATATTCTCCCTGTGCCTGTGTGGGTTTCCTCCAACACTCCAAAGACATGCTGGTAGGTGAATTGTCTAAATTGGCCCTAGCATGTGTATGTATGAATGTGAGTTAGGGACCTTAGATTGTGCACCCCTTGAGGGTTAGGGACTGATGTGAATGTACAATATATATGTAAAGCGCTGCGTAAACTGACGGCGCTATATAAGTACCTGAAATACATACATAAATCTCAAAATATTCAGGGCTGAAATTAACAGCTGCAAAAACCTATTTGCCCACTAGATGGCACTCAGCAACCACTTTGAGGTCAAGGGGCCCTCCACCAATGCCTGCACAAGTTTGGTATATCTGAGAGCATGCTGTAATGTAGAGATTGTTAGTCATGTGACCCTAAGGGGATTAAACCGTAACAATACACCTTCCCGCTCGCAGCAAACATCATCTCACCAACACAACAATCTACTGCTGAAGGGACAGGCACCCGAAGTAGATAGTTCAATCACACAACTCCAGACGCCTCTTCTAGACCAGCCAATTGCCATCGGAGAATGCCCCTCCCCGGGTCACTTGTACTAATATAATCTATTTATGTCCTCTGGAATTGAAGTTTATATTACTAAAGCGCCACAAACTGCACCGCACTGAAATGTACAGGAATTCAGTGCGATTCATGTAAATTGTGGCTACAGATTTTTTGGCCATACTTCCCCACATGGAAGAAAAAAAATATATTTGAAAAAATATTCTTCCCAAATATACTGACATATTTTTAAAATGCTACAATTTTGGCTGTATTCAATATATTTAAAAATATATTTCAATAAATAAATATATATGTACTGTATGTTGAAATGCGTTATTATTACAAAATATATGAAAAATATTTTTAAAAATACATTTTCAATCTTACTGTATGTCTTTAAATATACATTTAATCTACATTTTTGGAATGCATTTAAAAATATATGTAAAAATATATGATAACATGACTTTTTTATATGTTAAAAAAAATCTGAATATTTGAAAAAATATTTTTCATATTATTATTATTATACAGGATTTATATAGCGCCGACAGTTTGCTCAGCGCTTTACATTATGGTAGGAGACAGTACACGAGACAGTACAATATATTTTTTAACATATAAAAAGCGCATTTCAACATGCAGTATATATATATATATATATATATATATATATATACTATATACTGTATATATATATTATAAATAAATGTAAAATAAGTACACCAATAAATAAAAATCATCATTAATAGATAATGAATAAATGTAAAATATGTAATAATAAATAAATACATATTAATTAACTATGAACCCCCTAACCCTATGTTATTATTAATAAATAAGTAAATAAAATTATTATAATAATTTAAAATAAATTATTATATTATATAATAAATATAGTTAATAAATAAGTAAATAAATACATTATTAATGTTAATATTAATAATAATAATAAAATAATGAACAGCCTAACCCTAACACAAAATATATTATTATTATTATTATTATAATAATAATAATAATAATAAAATAACAATAATAATAATAATAATTTGTTTTGTGTTAGGGTTAGGCTGTTCATTATTTTATTATTAATAATATTAACATTGATACTTTTTTTAAGAGTTAGGGGGTTGATGTTTTGGGTTATCAGTAATTATTACTTATTTATTATTACATTTATTGTATTTATTCATAATTTATTTATGATTATTTTTATTTATTTGTGTGTTTATTTTACATTTCCTTAATCATTTATTTATTTTATTTTATGATTATTATTAGTATTATTATTTTAATAATATTATTAGCATCAGTATTACTGACACCCTAACCCTAACAAAAAAAAAGAATAAATACATTTTAGGAAGAAAATAAATAAAATATTAAGCCCTACCCCAACCCCTAATGCTAACCCTATCCTAACCTTAACTCTGACCTCTTACATAACAAAAAAATAAATAGATAAATAAAAGCTGATGGAAAAGCTAAAAAAAGCTAAAAAAACATAGCAACAAATGACAGGTTTTTTCTATTGCCTAATAAACCAAGCTTAAAAACACTGCATGAAAATGCACAAAAATAGCACAAAAAATGCTCAAATTTGCTACTCTCAAGTGTGAACGCAGCCTTAAACAAACAATAAAAATACTTTAAGCGGTGTTTTATGACTGTAGAGTAGCATCTATGGAACTATTACACAGTAGGATAGAATGGCATAGCTGATTGGAGTACTTCCCCAGGACAAACCTTGGCCTGTACGGGACATAACACCCCAATTCCCGGGTTCGGTATAAGTTTTAGAACCAGTACTGCACTGGACTGGATAAAATGTTACAACTGGATATGTGCATTGAGCATTCTGTGGGCAATTACGCCAATTTCTTCCACTTGAAGAAATAGTACATCTCCTAGATTGTAAGCTCCCAGGATCAGGGCCCTCCTATTCCTCTTGTATTGAACTGTATTGTTGCTGTATTGTCTCCCGTAATATTGTAAAGCGCTGAGCAAACTGTTGTTTCCACTTCCTGTCATACACAATTTGACTAGAGCAGTGCTTCTCAATTATTTTCTGTCATGCCCCCCCTAGGAAGAAGAAAACATTTTGCGCCCCCCCCCCCCCCCCGCGCGACTGTAAATAGTATTTTTGCAGCAGCACCTCTGCACTGCACACTTACCGGCTTTTCCCTCACTCGATTTCGCGGGTCCGCTCGGCTCCGCCTCCTCGCCCGTGATTGGCCACCTGTGTACCTTTCCTGAGCTACAGTTCTGGCGGCCAATCACTGGTGAGGAGGCGGAGCCGAGCGGCAGGAGTGAGGGAGTAGCCGGAGTGACGGAAGGAGCAGCGCTTCCTGGATGGATCATCGTGGGAGCCAGGTAAGAGACAGCAGCCCTCTGCCCACCCCTGTACTTAGTGTCCCTTCTGTCGGAAGGGGGGGGGGGGCGGCGGCACCGCGCTGCGCCCCCCTTGACGGAGCCTCAAGGGGGGCGCAGCCCCACTATTTGAGAAGCACTGGTCTAGAGTGACCATTGAGCAAAAGTCTATTGGATAATTAACCAAGGTACTCAAACAATTACTATAATAAAATATCCAGAAATATTAGGAATATGGTTTGTCACTTGAACGAAAGATGACATTTTTTAATCATCTTTTTCAACAAGCTGTATATTTGCATTATCCCAAATATGTGGATGCAGATCTGATAGATCCGAAGCTCCACTGCCGCAATACCTTCCTTTGTATCTTCTTGTTACATTGGCATACAGACATGATTCCCAGTCCTGATGATACTCTTGATATGTGTTGGCCAAAGTATCTATATACATACACATATATGTGTGCAGGGGCGGACTGACAACTCATGGGGCCCCCGGGCAATAGGGGATCATGGCCCTTGGTCCTTGCCCAAACTCAAAAAAGCCTATGAAAAAGGTATCACGGACATCTCATGGGGCCCCCTACTGACCCCGGGCCCTCGAGCGGTGCCCAAGTTTCCAAATGGTCAGTCCACCCCTGTATGTGTGTGTATTTATTTATTCAAATATATTTTGAAATATATTGAATATGGCCAAAATTGTGTATATATATATATATATATAATATATATATATATATATACACACACACTGCATGTTGAAATGCGATTTTTTTTATATATTACAAAGTATATGAAAAATATTTCTAAAAATATATATTTTTAAATATATTGTTCAGATGTTTTTAACATATAAAAAAAGTCATTATAACATATTTTTACCTATATTTGTAAATGCATTCCAAAAATGTAGATTTGTATATTTACAGTATATTTGAAAATGTATTTTTAAAAATATTTTTCATATATTTTGTAATAAAAATGCATTTCAACGTACAGTATTGAAATATATTTTGAAATATATTTTGAAATATATTGAATATGGCCAGAATTGTAGCATTTTAAATATATGTCAATATATTTGGGAAGAATTTTTTTTAAATATATTTCAAATATTTTTTTCTGCCATGTGGGTGGTTTCGCCCATGAAGGAATTAGCATAAGGTGAGGTTCTGAAGATTCAAACTGACTTTGTCCATTGTTTGGAAGCACCCCCCCCCCACCACCACTACCATGGTGAACCCCCAATACCACACCATGTACTCATTATTCTACCTTACTACTGACTTTGTCCATTGTTTGGAAGCACCCCCCCCCCCCCATGGCAAACCCCCAATACTACATCATGTACTCATTATTCTACCTTACTACTGACTTTGTCCATTGTTTGGAAGCACCCCCCCCCCCCCCCCCCCCCACCATGGCGAACCCCCAATACCACACCATGTACTCATTATTCTACCTTACTACTGACTTTGTCCATTGTTTGGAAGCACCCCCCCCCCCCGCCACCACCATGGCGAACCCCCAATACCACACCATGTACTCATTATTCTACCTTACTACTGACTTTGTCCATTGTTTGGAAGCACCCCCCCCCCCCCCACCATGGCGAACCCCCAATACCACACCATGTACTCATTATTCTACCTTACTACTGACTTTGTCCATTGTTTGGAAGCACCCCCCCCCACCATGGCGAACCCCCAATACCACACCATGTACTCATTATTCTACCTTACTACTGACTTTGTCCATTGTTTGGAAGCACCCCCCCCCCACCATGGCGAACCCCCAATACCACACCATGTACTCATTATTCTACCTTACTACTGACTTTGTCCATTGTTTGGAAGCACCCCCCCCCCCCCCATGGCGAACCCCCAATACTACACCATGTACTCATTATTCTACCTTACTACTGACTTTGTCCATTGTTTGGAAGCACCCCCCCCACCATGGCGAACCCCCAATACCACACCATGTACTCATTATTCTACCTTACTACTGACTTTGTCCATTGTTTGGAAGCACCCCCCCCCCCATGGCGAACCCCCAATACTACACCATGTACTCATTATTCTACCTTACTACTGACTTTGTCCATTGTTTGGAAGCACCCCCCCCCCCCACCATGGCGAACCCCCAATACTACACCATGTACTCATTATTCTACCTTACTACTGACTTTGTCCATTGTTTGGAAGCACCCCCCCCCCACCATGGCGAACCCCCAATACCACACCATGTACTCATTATTCTACCTTACTACTGACTTTGTCCATTGTTTGGAAGCACCCCCCCCCCCCCACCATGGCGAACCCCCAATACCACACCATGTACTCATTATTCTACCTTACTACTGACTTTGTCCATTGTTTGGAAGCACCCCCCCCCACCATGGCGAACCCCCAATACCACACCATGTACTCATTATTCTACCTTACTACTGACTTTGTCCATTGTTTGGAAGCACCCCCCCCCACCATGGCGAACCCCCAATACCACACCATGTACTCATTATTCTACCTTACTACTGACTTTGTCCATTGTTTGGAAGCACCCCCCCCCACCATGGCGAACCCCCAATACTACACCATGTACTCATTATTCTACCTTACTACTGACTTTGTCCATTGTTTGGAAGCACCCCCCCCACCATGGCGAACCCCCAATACTACACCATGTACTCATTATTCTACCTTACTACTGACTTTGTCCATTGTTTGGAAGCACCCCCCCCCACCATGGCGAACCCCCAATACCACACCATGTACTCATTATTCTACCTTACTACTGACTTTGTCCATTGTTTGGAAGCACCCCCCCCCCCCCACCATGGCGAACCCCCAATACTACACCATGTACTCATTATTCTACCTTACTACTGACTTTGTCCATTGTTTGGAAGCACCCCCCCCCCACCATGGCGAACCCCCAATACTACACCATGTACTCATTATTCTACCTTACTACTGACTTTGTCCATTGTTTGGAAGCACCCCTCCCCACCATGGCGAACCCCCAATACCACACCATGTACTCATTATTCTACCTTACTACTGACTTTATCCATTGTTTGGAAGCAGCCCCCCCCCCCACCATGGCGAACCCCCAATACTACATCATGTACTCATTATTCTACCTTACTATGAACCTCTGTTCTTTACAATCCCTCCCAGCCTCATCCCGATTCCAATGCAGCTTCCACTTGCATGGCGATTGTTTGCAATAATGAAACACTGGATCTGGAATTTGGTCTCATCCTCTCTATTATCAGATTGATTTACCTGTAAGCTCCCTTTTGATATTTGGAAGATTAGCAGGGCAAGAATTACTGTTTACCCCAGGAGCAGGCATACCTTGATTTGCATATATGTCAATCAAATTTGCAGACACTGGCAACTGGAAAAAAAAAAAACAAAATAAATACGTATTAAAACGAATATCGGTGGGAGTCCCATTAATAAGGAATGCAATCACTATGGAGAAAGGGATTTAAGGGGTTAATAAAGACTACATGTGTTTATAATCATTTTTTTTTCCAACATGGTTAATAAATTCAGTGAACACTCACATCCAGGAACATAGGTCCAAGTTTCTTAATCTGAAAAAAATAAATCCTTAATCTGTTCTGATGTGTTGAACAACAAAAACAATTATGGGAATAATTCTGTTGCTAAAGCCGAACTCCAGACGGATTGTCATGCAGATATAAAAGAGATATAAATGAATACAGCCCTGTACTCATCATCACGGTATCAGCATCTTGCAGTCCCTGTGCAGCAGAGCTCAGACTGTGAGAGGGAGAAGCAGCACAATGAGTCGTTCAGTTGTGCTACATTTACTAACAGGGAGCATGCTAATAGAAGGAGGGAGCAAAGTGACAGGACAATGAGCTCGTCAGTCTGCTGCTTCTCCTTTCACTGTTCAGTCACAGACTGGAGGAAGGACACGATTTTTAAGGATTACTTAACTGCAGTAGAGAAAAATCAGGTCTTACACCCTGCCAGGCAGGGCTGTGCTTTGTTGCAGAGCTGTGTAAATCTCAGAAATGGATAGATAGAAATTCAAATTACTGGTAGGTGAAGGGGCTCCCATCAATGTATCTCCTCTGCCTGTTTAGCGGTTTACACGCAGCTCAGTTTGCACATTTCATTTTCAGAAGAAGTTCAGCAAGGACAGCGGAGCGCTGGATCCGCCACCCACTATCTAGGACTGCTAAAGGAAGCAGGCAACTGCTGACCTCCTATAAATACTCATTTCCTGACTACCAAATATACTTTGAATATAATTCACAAAACGTTTTTACATGTAATATATATTACTAACGATTTGTATTGCAGATGTATGCATGGTATAGGACAGTGGTCTTCAAACTGCGGCCCTTTGCCTGCCTGTATGCAGCCCTTGGGGCACTGTTCTTCTCACTGATATGAGGTAATATTCCTCCCTCTGACACCAATGATGTGGCATTTTTTCTTTCCACTGACACCAACAATGAGGTACTATTCCTCACATTTACACCAATGATGGGCACTATTCCTCCCACTGATACCAATGATGCAACATTTTGTCTTCCTACTGACATGAAAAATGGGGCACTATTCCCACCCACTGACACTAATGATGGGGGCACTATTCCTTCCACTGACACCAACAATGGGGCCCAATTCCTTCCACTGACACCAACAATGGGGTACTATTCCTTCCATTTACACCAATGATGGGGCACTATTCCTCCTACTGACACCATTGATGAGGCACTATTCCTCCCACTGACACCAATAATAAAGCCCTATTCCGCCCGCTGACACCAATAATAAAGCACTATTCCTCCCACTGATACCAATGATGTAGCATTTTGCCTTTCCACTGATACCAACATTGGGCACTTTTCCTCCCACTGACACCAATGATGAGGCACTATTCCTTCCACTGACACCAATGATGCAGCATTTTGTCTTTCAACTGATGCCAACAATGTGGCACTATTCCTCACTTTGACACTAACAATGGGGGGCACTATTCCTCCCACTGACACCAATGATGAGGCACTATTCCTCCCACTGACACCAATGATGCAGCATTTTGTCTTTCAACTGACACCAACAATGTGGCACTATTCCTCCCACTGACACCAACAATGGGCTGCTATTCCTCCCACTGACACCGATGATGGGGCACTATTCCTCCCACTGACACCGATGATGGGGCACTATTCCTCCCACTGACACCAACAATGGGCTACTATTCCTCCCACTGACACTGATGATCGGGCACTATTCCTCCCACTGGCACCGATGATGGGGCTCTATTCCTCCCACTGACACCGATGATGGGGCAGTGATCCTCATTCTACTGACCACAAGCACTATGTAATTGTTTTATTCCCACTGACCACCAAGCCTGAGATATTGTCTACTCCCTCTGATACTGGGGAATTTTCCACTCCCACTGGCACAGTCCAGCACCCCTGGGGGATAGTAAATCAGTCCTTTGTTTGGAAAGTTTGGAGACCAAGGCTGATATAAAAGCCACAAATAAATTTGGCTCTGTATTCATATATATGTCATCAATTGTATTTTTAATGTAAACAGTGTAAGAAGTTACATTTAACCTGGTATCAGCCTGAGCAATCCCTGAGCAACAGAGCTCTGCAGGGAGCAGGAAGAAACTGCACAGTGAGTTGTTGCTTCTCCTTTCACTGTCCAGTCGCAGGATGAGGAATAACAAGACCTGTAAGTGTTACTGAACTGCAACAGGGTAAAAAGTCCCCTTCCCTGCCAAACTGGACTGAGCGGTGTAGCAGAGCTGTGTAAATCTCAGGTCTAGATGGACAAAAATAGAAATCCTTTGACAGGTAAAATATATTTTATATACGTATGTCATCTGTGTGTGTATATATATATATATATATATATATATATATATATATATATATGTAGTTCATGTGTTGACTTGTAGAGTGGGGTAAGGTTGAGAGATACATCCATTTCCTTTTGATGCACAAAGTAATTTTTTTTTTTTTTAATGTTGACGTTTTTAAAAATATTTATTATCATTTAAAAGTACAGTTATGATCTTCTATACCACAGCTCTTACAGCTACGCCACTTGGGGGGGGGGGGGGGGCGGTCAACCAATTCCTTTGAGAAAAAAACAAGCCATGCTAAAGACACCTTACAATTCCTATAATAGGTTGTAAAGACAAGAAGACAAAATTGAGAACTGCATCACAAGGGCCGGAAAGAGATATGACAACAGCTGTCAAAACTGGACTGCAAAGTAATAATAATAAAAAAAGTCAAAAAATATTTGCAAAAAAAAAAACAAAAAAAACAAGGATGCAATAAATACTTCAAATCTACCATACCGTGTTTGCCATTTGCATAGCAGGATCCATCATGAGAATTTCTTCATTATAGCTAGACTCCAAGCTAATGATGTCATCGATTACATCATCCATCTGCAATTACAAATATATAATGTTATTATAAATACAGTGTAGATTTTTTTATTATTTTGTACTTGTTTATTGGTGAATAATATTTACTGGCTAAATTATTAAAGGAGTATTTTTTTTTACAACAAAAAATTGTGCCCTTTCTGAATACCCAATTAATTAGAAGGAAAGTCAGGGAAAAAAAAACGCAAATACCCCTGAAGCTGCTGTCATTATAAATACAGTGCAGTTTTTTTTTTTTATTATTTTGTACTTGTTTATTGATGAATAATATTTACTGGCTAAATTACTAAAGGAGAATTTTTTTTTACACCAAAAAATTGTGCCCTTTCTGAATACCCAATTAATTAGGAGGAAAGTCATAAAAAAAAAAGCAAAAAAAAACAAAATACACCTGAAGCTGCTAGATGAGGACATTTTCAATTTAAACCACTTTCCAACACTTGTAATCTTTAACATGATCACCCATAAATTCCAGAAGCTAATCTACCACCCAAGGGTGAATTTAACACTCCAAAGAAGCGTGAATTCAAACCCAAATAATTTAGTAGTCAACTATAAAGTTGAATCTAGCAAAAAAAAAAAAATGACAGAAATTATGTAAAAATAAAAATACAAAGTAAATTAAAAAAATTCAATTTATTGAAAGATCAAATAAAATACTATGGGGAGATGTACTAAAACTGGTGCACTCAGAATCTGGTACAGCTGTGCATGGTAGCCAATCAGCTTCTAACTTCAGCTTGTCCAATTAAGCTTTGACAAAAAATACTGGAAGCTGATTGGTTTCTATGCAGAGTTGCACCAGATTTTGCACTCTCCAGTTTTAGTAACCCCCCTCCCCCCTCCATGTCTTTGAAAGTGATGAGATTTTTAAAAAATTCAATGTTAAACAACATCAGGCATTTCAGACAGCAAACTCAAACAACCCCTTAATTTAAAATGTAACATTGATAGTGTGGATGCCACTTCAACATGTGAATCAATACAGAAGAAAAGGTCCTCCTATAGTTTGTGTAGTGCAAGGTGTGAAGCTTAGCTATTCTATGTCAGTTTTTTTATACTCTCAACAAATCTATTAACATTTTTAATTACCGCTTTATGACTTTTGCAGTCAGTGGGTAGTATGTAAATGTCATTGGATTTTGGATTACTCGTTCACAATGCTGAAAAAAATGTTCTGTTGTAAGTAGCTTCCTCTTCAATATTGATTTTTATTAGATATTAAACTCTATTGTATCAAACAATTACTAGTTAATATTAATCAAATTATTATTATTATTATACAGTGTTTATATAGCACCGTAGGGTGTGCTCAGCGCTGTACATTAGCGAGGGGGACAGAACATGAGACAATACAGTAACAATACAATACGAGGGGTTCGAGGACCCTGCTCTTTCGAGCTTACAATCTAGGAGGGAGGGGGTAGAGGTACAGGAGGAAGTGGCTGTGGGGGATGGAGTGGTGGGAGAAGTGGAGGAGATCGGTTGTTAGGTGAGGGTGGGGTAGGCTTCCCTGAAGAGATGGGTTTTTAGGGTGCGCCTGAAGGTGAGGAGGGTAGGTGACAGTCTGATGGATTGGGGTAGGGAGTTCCAGAGGATGGGGGAAGTCCTGGAGAAGTCCTGCAGTCGGGCGTGGGAGGAGGAGGAGACCAGGGAGCTGGAGAGTAGGAGGTCCTGTGAGGAGCAAAGGGCACGGGTTAGGGTAGTATTTGGGTATCAGGTCAGTTAGGTAGCTTGGGGCAGCGTTATAAATGGCTTTGTAGGTCAGAGTTAGTAATTTGAATTTTATGCGTTGGGCAATCGGGAGCCAGTGAAGGGATTGGCAGAGGGGGGAGGTAGATGTGGAGCGCTTGGTGAGATGGATGAGTCTAGCCGCTGAGTTCAGGATAGACTGGAGTGGGGATAGCATTTGTTTGGGTAGGCCAGTGAGGAGGGAGTTGCAGTAGTCCAGGCGTGAGATAATGAGGGAGTGAACGAGTTGTTTGGTGGTATCTGGGGTGAGGAACGTGCGTATCTTGGAGATGTTGCGGAGATGGAGCCTGCATGACTTTGATAGTGATCAAATATTAATCTTTTATTTTATGGACATCCTGCTTTATACAGAGCTCAATCAGGACAGACTGCTAATTTTCCATACTGACTTCCAAAAATTCTATTCAAATTTATTGCAAAATCCCATAATTTTCTCAGAAAACAATTACAGCTTAATAATGGCAATATGCTGCAAAACTAGTGAAATAATGGGATCATCAAGCTGTTGCAAATGTATGCCCTAAAACGGCAATTTTAATAACAAAATTAAGGTAATAAATGCAGTGAAATAAAAAAAAAAAAACAGGAAAGAGGATTTTGGGGTTTTATAAATCAGTCCCTTACTGAACATTTTTGAGCTCCAAGTAAGTCATTTTAACTCCCAAAAAATTCCAAGACACGAAACCCTTTATTTAGTTATATTGGTGGGGAAATCCATTAATTAATTACTTTTATCATTTTTTCATTTAATTTTAAATTGCTAGCATACAGTCCTGTTCAATGAACATATCTTATCCAATGCATGGAGAATAGGCAGTGGTTTACTAACTGATTTTTCACCACATTTACAGAAAAAAAAAAAATCAAAAGTAAATAACTGTTGGTAAGATCGCATTCACCAAAGTTTACTTAGGTTTGTTCTTCAGTGTTAAGTAGTGCTGACTGTAATATTCACCCTATTTATCAACCAGGGCGTGTTGGTTTTTTCATATTTGTAGAAAAAAACTTTACTTAGCACTTTCACCAAGTGGCAGATTTGTGTTTTTAAAGGGTGGGTCAAAGATCTGGAAGTGCAAAACCTGTGGAAAATATTGACAATTTGCAGTGCTGTTGCCCTGGTATCCCCTAATTTCTGCACAAAGTTAAATAAACTTCACAATAATACAGCTGAAAAAGGATATAGAAACAAAATAAAACTCTAGACAGTTAATAAATAACTTAAAACTGAACTCCTAGATTGTAAGCTCCCAGGATCAGGCCCTCCTTTCCCTCTTATATTGAACTGTATTGTTGCTGTATTGTCTCCCGTTATATTGTAAAGTGCTGACCAAACTGTTGGCGATATATAATAATAATATAATAATAATAACCACAATGCCTATTTATACATCAACTATGTTTTTATAATATGAACGTTATAATTTAAATATTGAAAAAATTAAATTTGTGGGGGAGATCTACTAAAACTGGTGCACTCAGAATCTGGTGCAGCTGTGCATAGTAGCCAATCAGCATCTAAGTTCAGCTTGTTCAATTACGCTTGGACAATAAAACCTGGAAGCTGATTGGTTTCTGTGCAGAGCTCCACCAGATTTTGCACCATTCAGTTTTAGCCAATAGGTCTCTATTTAAAAATTGGTATATAACATGAACGTTTGTATCACAAATTCTAAAAAACTGTATTTGAAATAGGTGGGGCATAAGAAAATAAAAGGAAACATATTTTAAATTTACCAAACCGATAAGTTAACTTGGCAATAATAAGTGGTTTTATATGTTGACAATGCAAAACGTATTTATTTTATATTCAAGGACAGACAATTCTGGATTCACATTGTTCTATGTGCACTGCAACGTGCATACGTTAGGGGCGTGAATGGGCCCTATTCCAGACAAACTGCGGTTCAAGGATGTGAACTGGCCCAATGTGATTTCTATTTGACATGCATGTGCAGTATGTTATATTAACTCCCAAATAATAATAACTCCCCAGTCATTTTTATATATGTAATAATCAGGGGCGGACTGACCATTTGGAAACTCGGGCACTGCCCGAGGGCCCAGGGTCAGTAGGGGGCCCCATGAGATGCCCCTGGTACCTTTTTCATAGGCTTTTTTGAGTTTGGGCAAGGCCACAGGGGCCCCATGATCCCCTATTGCCCGGGGGCCCCATGAGTTGTCAGTCCGCCCCTGGTAATAATAACTCCCCAGTCATTTTTATATATGTAATAATAACTCCCCAGTCATTTTTATATATGTAATAATAACTCCCCAGTCATTTTTATATATGTAATAATAACTCCCCAGTCATTTTTATATATGTAATAATAACTCCCCAGTCATTTTTATATATGTAATATTAACTCCCAAACAGAAAAAGGCATAAGTTATCTAAAATAAAGTAATTTTTTTAATTAAATGTTTATTATTAAACAAATAAGTGCATTTATAGCTTGAAATTTGGTGATTTAAAGAATTTGGCGCTTTAAAAGAATTGATCCTCCAAATAATTAATGATAACTTTCAATAATAATTAAAACCTGTTAACACTCTTACGTATATATTAACAGATAAGGTATATTAATTTAAGCTCTTACTTTCAATTTTTATGTCACTTAGCTTCTTCAAAACTAGGGGAGTTATTATTACATATATAAAAATGACTGGGGAGTTATCATTATTATTTGGGAGTTAATATAACATACTACACATGTCCATTTAGTAAAATTCATGTGTTTTGCTCCAGAACAATGGGCAAGTGTGAATAGGCCTTGTCCATTTAAATCTTTAAAATCTTTAAAGTAGAACAAATATACAGCTAAAATAACTTAACATATACCAAAAATAAATACTATATAATAAAACATTTTACATAAAATGCAATGTAACATAGCTAATTCTTTATTTGTATGACACAGATCTACAAATCGCATAAACCACCTTTAAAGAAGTGAAAGAATACACTTTTTCATCGGAAGTCTTTTTTTTTTAAATAGAAGTTGAGACTGAATTATTTAAGGCAAAAGCTATCTTTGGCAGTAACACCTCTGTAAGGTAAACAGGATAAAGATCTTTCAGATTTAGCTTTACTGTTTAATGTGCAACTAGCTTAATGGAGAAGGCTGTGTAGAGAATCTGCAGTCTTTCCTGTATTTATTTATAATGGTCTATATAGGGGGTTGGCATCATTTTATAGGGGACTGTATGTAAAGCCATTTTTTTTGAGTAGGGAATGGTTAAGAGGTGCCTTCTCATTTGCTGTATGTAATACAATATTTTGTATTTTCCATGAAGTCCTGTACTGGGGGTCAATGGTCACTAGGAGTCGGACCAACAGAGTCAGCAAATCCCCCACAATTAGCAATAAAAACCAGAAAGAGTTTCGGCTTGCTATATATATATCAATTTGTTTTTTGTTTTGTCTTTTTGATCAGCCTGTTGGCTGATTGGAAGAAACTGAATTAATTCCCCAATCTACAAAAGCAAGGTGGATGGAGGTAGATTTTCCAACAAGCCGGTTCGAGAGAATTCAATCATTAGATCAACTTCTCTTGAACGACAACAGCCATTAATGCAGGGGTGTCCAAACTATGGCCCTCCAGGTGTTGAGGAACAGCAAGTCCCATGAGGCCTTGCAAGACTCTGACATCCTCAGGCAAGACACGCAGAAGCAGAGGCATGATGGGACTTTTAGTACTTCAACAGTTGGAGGGCCATAGTTTGGACACCCCTGCACTAATGGATCTTGAAGGAAGCATTTCCAACAAGCCGGTTCAAGAGAAGTCAATCGTTAGATTGATTTCTCTGGAACAGGAATGGCCATAGATGAATCAAAATTCATCTGGTCCCTGCTGAACTGGCCACATCTCAATCCGTTTATGGCCAGCTTGACTTTTCCACATTCTCCCTAAAACCAAAAAAAGAATGTTGTGGCTTTACAGAAGTCAAAACCTCAAAAGATAATTTCTGATTGGTATCTGTGGTTTACTACCCTTTTGTATTGCTCTTTGTCTGATTTAACGAGTCTGATATAAAACATTTATTTATTTCTGTTTTTATCATTTTACAATAGATTTGTAGCAATTATCGAAAAGCCACTAAGATTTGGGAGATAAATAGATACTCAAGAATCCAATAATCTTGCCTGATTTGCCAAGGAACCAATTCACTCAACCTCATTTTGAACTGGTAATAGGGTCCTCTGAATCCCTCACCATTTCACTTCCACATTTTTGTAGCCCAAGGGATACGATTGCAAGTGATGTTATGATATCTTATGTCAGTCAAATAAAGGAATTCTGTACTTAGAGAAATGTCACTTCCATTGCTGACCACCTCTGAAAATGCTAGTTACTTTGTATTTTCTGTTTTGTGGAACTTGTACAAACTCTGATCTGCTAAGGACTCAAAAATAAATGAAATTAGATGAGCATGACAGCTAGGCAACTATCATTTTTAGAGAGATGAGTGAGCAATGGCAACTTCCACAGTTCTTTTAGTACAGTCTTCTTTTAAATAGTGAACCCAGATCAATTTCCCCACTCCAAAATAGTGAGGAGGCTGTTCACCTGTGTGTAAGCTCCAGAATCGTGGTAGGTGAACTCGTAAGGGGATCCAAACGGCCTCTTTTCAACTTTGCTTCCAGGGACAGGGCTGATTTTTTTACAAGTATAAAACTAAAAGAAAAGACAAAAAAGCCAATGGATTCCAAATATCCAGCCCCATGAAACAGATTAGAGTTGACAGCATGTTGGAAAATCAGATTTTCACTCAACCCTACAATATTACCAATAATATAAAATGTGGCTGTTAATTACCTGTAAAATATTTCCTTAGTGTTTTCCCTCCAATTCATATTTAATGCAGTGTTTGCAAAGTGTTCCTAAACACAAAATCTATCCTATGGCTTGAAAAAAACAGCTAAGAAATGTTCAAAGACACAACACACTGCATCCTGATATGTGTTACATATATTACAGGCATGACAATGTGCATTAAAGCCTTGCATTTGTAGGGACTGCTGATGAGAATCATGCAACTGACTGTCGTTAAGTAATCATTGAATGACAATCTATTTCTGAAAAAAAAAAAAAAATCGTAAAATTTTTAATAAAATAATAAACTCTTGGGAAAACTTTAAGGAAGCGAAATACATGGAAGTATTTTAAATACATTTTTGAATATTTTTCTTAATATCCACCTGTAGAGAAACTACATTTTAAATCATTAGCTTTATAAAAATAACAACTGGTCTACATTTTTGTAATTTTTATTGCCTTTATTTACTAAAGAAGTAGAGAATTTTCCCATTGGCAAGTTAATGTTTTTAGTGAATGAGATAAAGTTGTGTTCCTTTCAGTCACTCCCATGTGCAAGCAAAATATAATTTTTTTTCCTCTGCACATCATTAAGTGATTTTCACAAAGCAAACATTCACTTTACAAAGTGTACATTCTCTGCTTGTTTAATAAATCAGTGTCATTGGGTCATTTTCAGGTTCCCCAGCTGTCAGTCTGCTGATGATTTTCCATGGGTCTCCAAACTATGGCCCTCCAGGTGTTGAGGAACTGCAAATCTCATGAGGCCTTGCAAGACTCTGACAGCCACTGGCAAGACTTCCAGAGGCAGAGGCATGATGGGACTTGTAGTTACATAGTTAGTCTGGCTGAAAAAAGACAAAAGTCCATCCAGTTCAACCATTAAAAAAAAAAGTTATAATCGTATACCCACAGTTGATCCAGAGGAAGACAAAAAAAAAAAACCAGCAAAGCATGATTTGCTCCTGCAGGGAAAAAAAAAATCCTTCCTAATCCCCCGAGAGGCAATCGGATATTCCTTGGAACAACTTTACCTATAAATGTTAGTATTTAGTTATATTCTGTGTATCTAAGAAAGAATCCAGGACTTTTTTAAAGCAATCCACTGAGCTGGCCAGAACCAACTCTTGAGGGAATCTATTCCACAAAAAAAAAAAAGTTATAATCCTACGCTCACAGTTTATCCAGAGGAAGGATCAACCACCAAATTGACAAAAGATGGCGGCTCAAAGGTCTGAACATGCTTGCTCCCCTTTAAGAGTCGGGATCAGCTTTAGATGGCTGGCACTATGCTGTTCTTAATGAATCCAAACAAGGCAGCTCCAAAATTCAGATATACCCCATAAAAGATATAATTGTCCGTTTATGACACAGAGAATAGCTGCGATTCAACGGATCTCAGCTATTCTCTGGTCATTCACAGTTTATAACACTCAGGAGATCATGTCAGTCCTTCTCTGGAGATCTGTGTTCTCCCTCCAGATTCTCCAGCTCAGAGCTGGAGAATCAGAGGGACCGCAAACTAAGCAGAGATAATTTACCTCTGCTTAGTAAACTGATCTTTTACTGTAATCTCATGAGATTATAGTAAAATCAGCCATTTTCCAGAGTTTGTAGACCGTTCTCCAGCGTTTGGAGACCGTTCTCTCTTCGTTCGGAGAACTGCTTCATAAACTGCATTCACAGGAGAACTGTGTTCTCCGAGAATGCCAGAGAACTGAGCAGCAATCTATTACCGCTGGTTCATAAACAGACACCATAGTTACATAGTTAGTCTGGCTGAAAAAAGACAAAAGTCCATGCAGTTAAAAAAAAGAAAACTGTAATCCTACACCCACAGTTGATCCAGAGGAAGGCAAAAAACCCAGCAAAGCATGATCCAATTTGCTCCTGCGGTGAAAAAAATTCCTTCCTGATCCCCCGAGAGCCAATTGGATATTCCCTGGATCAACTTTACCTATAAATGTTAGTATCCAGTTATATTCTGTGAATCTTGTAGTACTTCAACAGCTGGAGGGCCATAGTCTAGAGACCCCTGGGCCTTCAAAAACAATCTGGGCCTGAGCAACTATAATGCAAAAGAAAGCCTGTTTTCTATTTATACATCCAATCGTATGTAGTAGAAACTTCTGCACGCAATTGGATGCTTGACGAGTAATTCACCTTGGATCACTCTTCAGAAGCATCTAGTACATTTAATATGAGGACTCCATATCTCACTCTCCTTGAGACCCCTACCCAACATGATGGGCATTCCTGAAATTGAGCCTAATTTTGATGAAAATATTTAGCAGGTTTATTAACAAAATTGTGTTGATATAGCAAAATTGAAAACTTTAGGTAAATTACATGGCAGTAAAGAAGTCAACGTGTTTACCTCTTTCTCACAGGTTGTGCTAAGAGTCAGCATAGCCATGGGGCTGTTGGGCGCGCTGCTCCCGGTCCCAGGTGGCATCATGTGGTCTCCTGGCTGGTTCGGACAGGGCAAGCTTAGTGCTTTGTTAGAATGCTTGGCGGTTGTCAGGTATTGTTGCACCTGCTGTTTCTGTGCCTGCTGGATGTGGTACTTTGTTGGATTTTCAAGGTGGGTCTGCACCTACCAAATAAAGTCAAAAATCATTAGTGTTCTGTAAAAGTCAGCTACCATGGCTTAATATCCTACAATGGTTGGAAAACAACAACATGAACGTAGGTGGTGACATCAGAGCTAACAGACATCTAACTTCAAACACCATTTCAAGGAAATCTTTGAAGGCTGCCACAGATTCCTCCTTTTTACATAATCCTAGTTTGGTTGTGTCATTGACCCAGCACACGTTTTCATTAAATGAAATAAAAATAGCATGGGGCGCAATCTGAGTGTAGTAATCCAGGACTTCTCCAGAGCTTCCCCCATCCACTGGAACTCTCTACCCCAATTTATCAGACTATCGCCTACTCTGCTCACTTTTAGGCGATCTCTGAAAACCTATCTCTTTAGGGAAGCCTATCCAGCCCTCAGCTAATAATGGAATCTTCTACTCCTCCTACCAGTCCATCCCCCACAGTTACTACCTTTTGTACCACTAGCCCCTCCCTCTTAGATTGTAAGCACCAAGGAGCAGGGCCCTCCGATCCCTCTTGTATTAAACTGTATCATTGCTGTATTGTCTCCCATTATATTGTAAATCGCTGAGCAAACTGTTGGCGCTATATAAATCCTGTATAATAATAATAATAGTAATAATAAATATGACCATAAAAAATATTTAATAAGAAATAAAATATGTGTTGTACTCACAAACGACAATAAAGTCAAGGCACATCATAAAACAGCTGGGTCAACACCGCGCTGAGTAACAGTCCGCAATAGGGAGTGTAGACATCCAATAAGTGACGCGTTTCGAAGACTTGCCTCTTCCCCAGACTGAGTACAACACATACTTTATTTGTTATTAAACATTTTTTATAGTAATGCACTAGGCCTGTGCGCCCCCTGTTTGTTCTTTCCTCATTCAGTATATTTGGAATTCCCCTGTCTATTGAGGGCAGCAAGGTGCAAATATTCCAGGACATTCCTTATGTGGTTGTAGCCTGCATCGAGTCCATCCCCAAACGCTGGAGCATTTGTGTTTGCTGGTTCTCTGTAGTAATAAATATACCTTACTCCTAGAGATTCTTCAGTCTCATAGAAGTGCTGCAGAGAGTGGTTGACGATAAGCAGGACTTTTCCCACTGAACTCTATATACAAACGCTTTATTTATTCCAGGTACTTATATAGCGCTGTCAATTTACACAGCACTTTACATATATATTATACATTCACATCAGTCCCTAACCCTCAAGGGGCGTACAATCTAAGGTTCCTAACCTCAAGGGGTGTACAATCTAAGGTCCCTAACCCTCAAGGGGCGTACAATCTAAGGTCCCTAACCCTCAAGGGGCGTACAATCTAAGGTCCCTAACCCTCAAGGGGCGTACAATCTAAGGTCCCTAACCCTCAAGGGGCGTACAATCTAAGGTCCCTAACCCTCAAGGGGCGTACAATCTAAGGTCCCTAACCCTCAAGGGGCGTACAATCTAAGGTCCCTAACCCTCAAGGGGAGTACAATCTAAGGTCCCTAACCCTCAAGGGGCGTACAATCTAAGGTCCCTAACCCTCAAGGGGTGTACAATCTAAGGTCCCTAACCCTCAAGGGGTGTACAATCTAAGGTCCCTAACCCTCAAGGGGCGTACAATCTAAGGTCCCTAACCCTCAAGAGGTGTACAATCTAAGGTCCCTAACCCTCAAGGGGTGTACAATCTAAGGTCCCTAACCCTCAAGGGGCGTACAATCTAAGGTCCCTAACCCTCAAGGGGCGTACAATCTAAGGTCCCTAACCCTCAAGGGGAGTACAATCTAAGGTCCCTAACTCACATTCATACATACAGATACTAGGGCCAATTTAGACAGGAGCCAATTAACCTACCAGCATGTCTTTGGCGTGTGGGAGGAAACCAGGGTACCCTGAGGAAACCCACACAGGCACAGGGAGAACATGCAAACTCCAGGCAGGTGGTGCCTTGGTTGGAATTCGAACCAACGATTCTAGTACTGCCTGGTGGAAGTGCTAACCATTTAGCCACTGTGCTGCCCTTTATGCATATGGTCATCAGCCGACTCTATACTAGTGCGCCATAACCACTATCTATTAATACACAACCGAGCAGCATATTTTATTCTGGGTCAGTAATTTAAAAAGTAATGATACAAAAGATCAAATCAAAAAAAGAGTGCCAGTCAACTAGAGTTTTCAGAATGAGAGTGATCAATATTAATCTTCAAAAATATTAAACACTTCATTTTATGTGCAATTGATTGCCCCTGCGTGGGCATGA